CAAATTTCTTCACTGCACATACGTACGTATCGCTGTCGCTTATAAGTTCACACCTGAACATTGGCTGCACTTGCAAAGCCGTTCTTCCTCTATAGTCTCCAAGTCGACTCCATCATTCTCATTTGTAGATATTTGTACCTCATCTCCGACATTTTCAATATTCATGTCAAACAGTCTACGGCGTTGAGTACCCTCCTTGACGATCAGTCGAGTATGTGACATTGATGATGGCGTTTGAACTGGAATATGGTTGGAACAGCATCTTTCTTCAGTAGTTTCCTTTCACCTGAAAAAATACAACAAAATTAATATGCTATTATGGTAACAGTAAGAAGTAAATAAGTAGGTCATGTATGTGACCTACCCGTAATGGGGAAAAGGTTAAATAGTCACTGATTGTCATTTTTATGTATGGTGATGCCATGCATTGTCGTCAGTGACATTACAAAATATTCAGTATCTAGACAAGCAGGAAGTGTCTCACACAATTAGCAAGGCCTGTCCTAGTGACTAGCCCATTTGTATGACGTCGCCAGGAGATCCACATTTGTAGGCTAGGCATCGAATTAGTATTAGCATTAGTATTGGCTGTATCTGTAGTAATAATATATTTACTTATTAATAATTATATTTATAAAATTAATTGACTCACCTATATATCCTGGCGTCCTGTACGAATCCGATGTAAATGTTTTTGTACAACATAGCAGCCCACTTTCCTTCGTCCATAGTTTTGTCGTGCCCGGTTCAAGACGTTTAATGGCCAACCTGCACCTTCAATTTAAGGTCTGAGATCCTTAGGAAAGGTGTGACACCTGTTCTAACTGTTGCAGAGGTGCACAGCACAGTTATAGAGGCATTTTCACTGTAAAAAACTCAATTGATAGTGAAATACTGAAGACAAGAAGTAAACAGAGGAAGTACCTATAAAACAGTGCTGCCGCCCTGGTGGATAGTACGCTGCTGTTCCCTATTGCGGCAGCTTACTGTTGTACAGCCCTCCTATAGACGCGGATGGGTCGCCGGTCGGCCATTTTTGTGTATGAAACGGGATCCGAGTACTCTGTAGAAATTCGCATCATAGAGAAAAGTTTCGAGCAGAGCATAGAGCACGAATCTGTAGTTATTTAACATGAATAAAGTGTATGTTTTGTAAGCGCAGTAACACTAACAGTGTGCGTATTTTTAATTAATTTCTGTTCGATGCTTATTTAGGCCTGCAGCCTTTGGACGCCCTCTACTGTTGTTCAACACCTATAGTATATTAAATAATAATATAAATCTTTGCACAGGGGAGAGATAGTAATCCGCTAGGGGACGGCTCTGATTCAGTGATTGGCTAATTTTGTCTCTTATTTATTTTATTTATTATTATTTTTGGCTAATTTTGTTTTATTTTAGAATTAGGGATAGGGTTATATACTTATAGCTAGGGTTAGGGTTTGGATTAGGGTTAGGGTTAGGGTTAACTGATTTCTATATCCACAACTTATTTCTATATTCACTATCTCTCCCCTGAGACCTACTTATTAATATATCATTATCAAAGAGAAAGACAAAGTTAAAGTAGTAGTACTAGTAGTAGTACTAGTAGCAGGAGCTGCCGCTGGCAGCTAACAGCGCATTGCTGGCAGCGGCAGTTAATGTAAGCGGCTATAGTACTAGAGCTACGTTTCTTGTAGCTCCAAGAAACGGTATTGCTAGGGTTAGATACCGTGTGTGATACCGTGTTAGATACGGTGTATTGACGTTAGTCACACAGCCTGGTCGGGTTACGTTTCTTGGAGCCATAGGCATAGGGCCTACTCACCGTAAACGTTCCTCCTAAGACAAGTGATTTTACAGAACCACTTTTCTTAGTTACGCGGTCAATAACTTTTGCCGCTTCGAGATAAAGATACATTTTGCAAAATATTGCAAAGTAGTATAGAATTTAGAAAGCATACGACTGGTGGTACGCTTCTACGTTGAAAATTGTCAACAACTGCTACAGGGCCGCGTGGCGATTGACTGGCTACCGACATTTTATGTCACGTGTACATGTGAACTTGGTTAACTGAAGGAACAGTCTAACATTGTGGCTGTATATAGTACATTATTTATATTTTACAAGAATCTAGTTATCGAATCTATAAACCGCTATCTCCTGTTATCGCATTATTTATGCATCGTCATGTTATTTATTGTGTACATATTTTTTTCATATAATAAGTTATTTACTATTGTGTTTTGTGTTGTCTCATCACTTGATACTTTTCAGTTCAATTGTGGGCATAGAAATATACCTTGTACTAACCTGTATAATACAGTCGTTATGTTCCGCACGGCTACGTACACTAACTGACGCTCATAGCACACTACATCACATAATAATATCATAATACTCCCACTACATCTCAACTATAGTCTATACGGTCGCTATACTCATACTCATTACTCTATCATATATATGCATTAGCAATGGCCACACAGCACACTCGAGCGGCGAGTGCGGGAGCGGCTAGTTCGAGCTATTAGATTTTTTGTGAAAGCAAGTTGATATACACCCCACACGGGGACACAACAGAATTAATTGAGGGTCGTATTCGTGAATGTGCGTTCATATTATTTTCAGTTTTTACTGACTGTCCCGCAAGCAGGGCGGCGCCAGGGTATTTCTTAGGGGGGGGCGAAAACGAGGGGCGGTACAGATATGTCCGCGAGAAAGCCCGAGGGGGATACGGGGGTCTATCTAACCGAACGCCAAACTTGCCGAGCACGCGAAGGAGGGGTGCCTTCCCCCAGAATTTTTTGAAATTAGACGCAACCTGCAGTATGCTTTTCCGCGCGAGCAGAGGGGGTAACCCGGACCCCATGGACCCCCTCCTGTACACGACGCCCTGGAAAACTGTAGCACTCTGACTACGTGTGCGCATTGCACTGACAGGTGGTCCCAGGGGTAACGATTCATATTCATCAAGCGCGTACGCAAATATTTTGCGTAAAATCTTGTGTACGCAATCGACGTTGCTTAGTTGGCGAATTTATCCAAGCGCAGTTATTTAGTAAATTGCGTAGCGATTTTCGCGTACCAGCGAGGGCCGTTTTAGGTCGATTCATCAAGCTAAAATTTACAGTAAACACCTTTGCGTAACT